TTTTCTGTATGTTTGGATTACGTTTTTCCTTTTTTTTTCTCAGGATAAGAAAACACACACCAAGGCAATGGCTGTGCCAGCATTTAATTTGAATGAGAGGAAGATAAAGGGAAAATAAACAGATAAAAGAATATCGACTGATTTTTAATCTAGTGTTTTATTTTCCCTAGTAGCTAATGCATCATTTTAACAGCAGCCAAACACTACAGTATTTTAAAACAAGTAATGTTTTACAAGTAATGCTTTACTCTTGTCTTATCCTTCCCTCTATATAGCATAAGCCTTATGAAAAAGATTTGAGATTAAGTGCTTACAAGGTTAATAATGATGGGCATGTTGCAATCAAGTACTACCTTTAAATACTCGGTTTGCTATCTCCCTCCTAAGGAGTTCTTGGAAGCACATGTTCTTACAGATTTGTGGGCATTAATGTTGAGCGTGCCCAGGTAAAACTTACATCAGTTCCCAGTGAGTTTATTGGTGGAGATCTGTGCAAATGAGGCTGCTATAGTAAAGACTGGAAGACGCACCCATCCACCTCATATCACAAATAGTAAATGTGTGTTCAAGTAGGTCAGCACCCTTGAATCTTAAAATGTGGTGCCAGTTGAAGTTGGTGCATACTCCTGTCCTTCAGATGGAATCATATATGTGTCTATTGAGGGAGTAGTCACATGACCTCTTTTACAGAAGATGGTTCTCTGAAGAACTACCATGGGGTAGTCCTCTTTTTTAATATGTCCTCTATTTGAAGACCCTGACAGACCAAATTTGATTTAGAAATAACCTTAAGAATGACTTTGAAGTCCAATCACAGTGAGCACCTGAACAACAGACTCTGCAAACACAAAGTTCATCTGGCCATAGACTCGCCCTATTTGGATGAGATGTACTTTCATTCTGTTTAAATTATAACAATAATTTCTTACTTCTAATTTTGCATCTCTATGTGTGAATGAGCATATGCACTTGTATGCAAATTCTCTTTTGTCCTCTTTTTTTACTGATGTGTTAAGTAGCCACTCTATAAATTCAGTGTTTTCTAAAGTCTCAATGCTTCATTAAACGGGCCTGCAGGCTGATACTGAATAAATTAAATAAGCCTACGATGATAGGCTTGTTGTGGTTCATGGTTTTTAAAAGGAAGATAAGTGCAATAGATGTTCTCAAAGTATTTCCTATTTTGTAATTTTATCTCGATTATAAGTGTTTCGCCACTGCCATCATTGCCACCCCTTGTTGAAATCTGGAACGATACCCTAAGAAAACAAACAAAAAGCAAATGGAAATAGATGTGTGAAGACGGGATCATGTTCCAAAATGCAGATGCAAAAATATGTGGTGTAATTTTCACCATGATTCTCCCATCTACAGGCAGATAATAAATGTATACTGTATATTGCTTTGCCCATGCATGGATCCATTAAAATTAGCATGTAGTTACTACCTAGCATGTGTGTCTCAGTCCTCTAGTGTGGTGTGGTGTTGTAAGTGAGGTAGCTCACTTGGCTAAAACCAGAAAAAAATTATGTTAGAAAATAATAAATAACATAATGTAAAAGAACAAGCACAAACGTGTGCCCACTAGAACAATGTGGCTGTTCTTGTCTCCAGCTTTTGTTCTTTCATTTCTGACTCCTTGCAGCTGATGAACAAAGCATATGGAGTAATAAAATGTATTAGTAGTAGAGGTGCCACAGGACTCTGTTGTTTTCATTATAACAGACAAAAATATCAGTGATTCTAGAAACTGTTAGGTAGGGCAAATTTATCCCAAAGCATTCCAATCTTACAAGACACATTGATGTACTTTATTTCAGAATACAGTGGACCCTCTACTTACGGAGTCTTACAAGACACATTGTTGTACTTTATTTCAGAATACAGTGGTGCCCCGTATAGCATTGCTGTACGGGGCAGGAAAAGCCTATTGGAACGCATTAAACTTAGTTTAATGCGTTCCAATAGGCGCCCAA